GTTCTGGAGATTGAAATACCGCTAGAGACAAGTTTGTCTCCAAATTTGAGATTTCGACCAAATTTCGAAATAAGCTGGGTGGGTATCTATCCATTCATCCATCAGCCTATCATCGAAGCCTATATAGCCTTGAGACGATATAAGTTTTTTTTGGTTTCTGAAGAGTGTAAAGCAGTGTCTGGTTTTCTGTTCGCATGATTTCAACACCCACATTTTATTATTTTCAAATTTAAAGGGTCGCCGTCGTCCAAAATAGGTCAACCCTGGAACTACCGGCTATGGATATGTAGCATCAATGAGTGACTCGCCCACTTTTTTGAAGTTAATTCAAAATCTCGAATTTTTCTAGAAATTGGCCCCAGGAGTTATTGGACTACTTGAACACAGATCTCACATTCGTTCACTCAAAAACGGCTGAAGCGCGCGCTCCGTATACTGGCGCGCCTTAACCTTATGTAGTGGCATGCAAGTTAGGAAAAATTTCGAAGTTATCGACCTCAAACTCATCCAAAAGCAAGTAGGGCTGACCAATGATGAAGGAATCATGTTTCACTACTGCCAAATAGTCAGTCACAAAAATGCAAAACGGAAACACGCAATGGATCCGAACCACTGACCCGAAATCCCAGGTTAACCACTAGGCCACCAGCACCCGATAGAAGAGGCTCACTGCTTCGTTCACAAGCCGCTGCTGCTGAGGCCGATTCCTCACTGTGTTAAACTGTGTGAGGGAACAAAAAACCTCCGTAACTCCGTTCAGCGAATCGTTTGGCAGATTTGGGAAGAAGATTCGAGATCAGCGTCCGAAACCACATACCATGATACTTGTCTCATTTCATATGGCCACTTCGACCCTTCATCCTTCCCTAGTGAGGCGGCCGCGCCCGCAAAATCGCCCCGGTCCCACGTGGTCAAAAAAGCCAAAACTCGCGTTGTCGTCAACGTGTTAACATGGTCCGCCCACCGTTCGATATCTTGTCTGCGTCGCCACGTTGATCTGCTATGCTCTCTCTTCTCGGACTTCTCTACCACTCTCCGCGCTCACATTATCTCTCATCTCCCTGCCTGTCTTTTGAACTTCTCCACAGCATAGAGCAAAATGCTCGTATTTCCTGTGTATTTCAGGATTTTCTTTCCTTTTTTCTCCACTGGCGGTCCACCTCCCATCCCTACTTTCACATTTGAGTGGAATCACCCCATCAATTTAATCCTGATTCTTGCCTTTAAAGGAGGAGTTTACGATGAATGGCAGCCCATTAAAACCGGGGTAGTGGTGGGCAGTGATCCAGGAAATGAAGAGGGAACTATGAGAAACGGCTCAAAATCCAAGAAGGAGCACTTCTTTCCCCGTTGATAGATGTGAGTAGATCGCTGCTGCCCTCTTCAACGCTAACGCTCTCTCTCTCTCTGCTGAACGGCTACAGTCAGACGGCGGGAAGATGGGCGTTTCCGCTACGTGGGCGCGAGGGACTGACCTTGCTTGGAAATCGGCGCATACTCTTCTCTGTAAAACGAGCATTTCCCGGACCGCTAGAGGACCGGCCTACCTATAGGTACATTTCCCCTTCTTCGATTCCCCTTGGATTTTCGACCTTAACGTGGAGTTCTCTTTTGATCTGCCATGATTTCTCAAAATTTCGGCACCATCTCACTGCTTGATTGAAAACATTTTACTCGCTACATTTTAAGTGAGACGTAGCCGGAGAGGCCGCAATGCATTTCCATTAGATCGGATTTCCCGATCCCATAGTGTAATAACTGACACATGCCAACCACTTTATCCCTCATACATTTTGAAAAAAAAATGTGCTCAATAGAAATTCCAAACAACGAATCAAAATCCTCATCAGTCAGCCAAGCAATGTCGGATCCAAAACGTCTTACCCTTTAACAGTCACTGCGTATCAGACCGGTCCGATCTTACACCTCAAATTTACATTTGGAAATAGAGAACAGTCTGAAATCATTTTTGCATCATGGATCATCATTGCATCATGCATCATCATTTTTGCATCATCCCATCATCATCATCATCATCATCATCATACTCGTGCAAAAACTGCGCCAATGAAGGAAACCAAATACTGCGGATCTATATGATTGGGATGATTCAGCTGTCAATCGAAAGCTAATGTTGAGGTGCTTGGTGCTGGAGTTAGAAAGATCAAAAAACGCTTAAATTCCGCGAAATCGGACCCTGTTCGATTTGATTTTGGGCGCCGGACGAGTTTGCACGGTTTAAAATGAGTATTTCATCGTATGCATACCTCATAAAGCATCCGAATATTCGCACGCACTGCCTTTAAGGAAGCACAGACCAGCGTAGCCGAGCTAGGGGCAAAATCAATGTCAGAAGGTCCGCTTAAGTCACTGAGATTAACCGACATACTAGCCAATGTAACCATTTTTAGAAACGTCTAGACACGATCTGGAGCAAATCTCGCTGGATCAGTCGAATTGCATCCGAGGCACGAGAGAAGCGTATCAGGTTGGTAGATGAATTCATGCATGAGAATTTTTATGAGTGAAAACATTTAGGTTCGATAAGGTTGACTGGCTAACCTGCTACTAAGCTGCTATGTACACCCTACCACATACTAATGCCAGAACCGTTTAAGACCCCTCATTCGTCTCAATATGTACTGTAAACCTCTCCAATCCCTCATTATGGGAAGTTTCGGGGTTAAAGTTAAGAATTGCACGAAAGAGGGCTAGACTCGAAGGAGGCAGGGAGAGGTAAGGGTGCACGTATTGAGAAAAAAACCCTCTAAATAACACTTGACGCTCTCTTCAAGAGGAGGTTTGTTGGGTTTTGGTTTTCGGCGATTTTCAGGCAAATTTAGCCAGTGCCCCTTCCTTCTTTCTCATCCAGCCTCTACGTCCTAGCCTACATTTTCTGATTTTCTACTATTTTGTTGCAATATCAACAGGATCACGACACTTCCGTAGGCTAACCAGTTAGTCATTATGAATGTATAATAGTATCATTTTGTTTAGTCCACCAACAAAGGCAATTCCGCTCAGTAGATTCCTTACGCCTATCGAACGACAACTATCCGGAGATGGTGCTCAGGAAACAGAAGACACCTTCGTTGTGGTATGTCTTGAGAAAGGCTTCTAATACATTAGTATGTAGCTGCTGTAGGATTACGACTTCACTTACAACTTCAAGTTTTACTCCTAAGTTTTTACGTCTCGAAATCTGCTCAGCCCTCCTGATATTTATGTGCTATCGCCTAAAAGGAGGATTTCACGATAAGGTCGTAAATCGAAGAAGGGGAGCTTATCTAGTGGAGAGATAGAAGGACCTCCAAAGGATGCGGACCGAGCGCAATTCGCAGCGAAAAATATGCCCGGCGATCTAGCATGGCCCTCCCCGCGGCGCTGTCGGCGCGGTACGTCCGCCGACCGGCTATCCACTCGCAGGTTTCAGAACGTTTAGCACAAAGCGTTAGCGTTGAAGTTGGGAAGGGGGCCTCCAATGAGACTCGCACAATGAACGGCCACGGGAAAAGTCCGCTTTCGTCTTAGCCGTTTTTCATGGATTTTTTCTTCATTGCGGCACCACTGACCCCATCTACCGAAATTTCAATAGGCTGCCTTAGAAGCGCCACTTCGCCTTTAATACGCAGAACTGTTCGCGTTAATTCAGCTCTAAGATTATTTACGACTGCGTGGGTAGAGGAAATCCTTTCCGTTTCTCTTCTAAAGTTTGTTCACATGTAGGAGGCATGTGTACAAACAAAAAGTATTGCTTGTAGTGCCCGCCCACTTCCGCAATCTCTTCCCTGAAACGAGCAAGATGGACACGGGACCTTCGCCGTTCTAGTCTTTAGTCCATGAGCTTTGTTGGTAAGCACCACTGTTCAAAGCATCACCACGGTTGGGTGTCCCCCTCATTTCAACCTAGTACACGCCTTTACCAATTTTCGCCTGATCTCTGGGTGCTTCTGAAACCGAACAAAAAAT